AGCGCAAGGACCTGAATTCGATCTCCGGTACCAAAAAAAAAAAACACTGTATTGTTTGATCTCCATGTATTTACATAGTTTTTGTGTTTCTTTTGCCACTGATTTATAGTTTCATTACACTATCAGATAGTATGGGTAGGATAATTTTGATTCTTTTGTGTTTACTTACACATGCTCTATGGGCTGGTATAGGGTGTATTTTGGAGAAAATTCCATGTGCTCTTGAGATGAATGTATATTCTGTTGTTGGGTGGAACACTAGATGGATGTCTAGTAAGTCTGTTCTTTCAAAGGTTTGGTTCAATTCTTGATAATTCGTGTGTGTGTGTGTGTGTGTGTGTGTGTGTAGTTGATCTGTCTGTGATAGTGGGGTATTGAGGTCCCCCACTTTGTTTTGGTGTTTATCTGATCTTTTGTGTTTAGTAATGGTTGTTTTATGAAGTTGGGTGTGCTGGTTTTTGGGATCAGGGGTGTAGCTCAAAGATAGGGCACTTGCCTAGCACTACCCCCCCCCCCAAAAAAAACAAACCATGAGATTTGTTGAATTTGAATATGTATAATGAATATCTTAGGATAGTATATCCAATGTCAGCAATTCTGAAGTTCACAGTTGAAATAAAACTTGTCAAATTATGAGCCAAAATGAATTAAAATCAAATAAGGCATGAAGTTTTTTAAATTTCTTATTTAGTCAGTGAGACCCACCAAGCTTTCTGAAATTTTACATATAAATTGTCAATTCTTTTTTTCTTTTTCTTTTTTATTTTCCTGCTGAAACAATGTCTTGTATAGTTCAGCTGGCCTTGAATTCATTGTGTCCCAAGTTGGTCTTGAACTCATGGCAATCTTCTTGCCCCAGCCTCCCAAATGCTGGGATCACAGTCATGTGCCACCACATCCAGCTTATTATCATTTCTTGAGAGTAGCTTTAATATGTAGTTTATCGTGATTTGGAATGGGGCTATTGAGCATTTTTGTTTAAATTCATTGTAGCTATTTGTGTCAGGATCTAAGTTGCCTAGAGGCAGTTTGATCATCCTTATCTGTGGCTTGGGATCACAGGTGTGTGCCACCATACCTATGTTGACTAATAGATTTGTAAGCTGTTTGAGTAGATATAAATACAGTACTAGTTAGTTCCTGAGAAAACTCAGCTGTTTGCACTGAGACTATTATATTAATGTGGCTTAATATCATCCGTGAAGTTTGTCCTGATCCTCTTAACCAGAAGGCCAGGGTGACTCAAGGAAGCTACCACTTCCTCTAGAAAACTGCTTGGCAAGCCAGGCATGGTGGCATAGCCGTGTAAATCCCAGCACTCTGGCAGGCTGAGTCAGGAAGGTAGCAAGTTCAAATTCTGCCTGGGCAATTTAGTGAGACTAAATCTCAAAATAAAAAACAAAAGAAAGCTAAGGATGCAGCTTAGTTCAGAGCCCGTGGACTCAATTTTCAATACTGCAGAGAAACAAAACCTGCTGGGTAGGGAGGTAAGGGGATATAATCAGTTTCCTCTTGTGACCTGAATCGAGGAGAAGGTGTTCCCCTGGTGCTGCTTTCACTTACTGGTTAGAATTAGGATTACTGGCTGGGGATTTAGCTCAGTGGTTCTGGCGCCTGCCTCGAAAGTGCAAGGTCCTGAGTTCGATCCCTGGTACCAAAAAAAAAAAAGAATTAGGATTACCACTACTGGATGGTCCAGTCATACTACATTTTGCTAGAATTAGTGGTCTCAGGATTCCGTGAGATTCACAGTGGATTACTGAAGTAAAGAGACCCTGAGCTTTGAGCATGGGCATGATGTGGGCAATTCTCTCACCTCCATCTGTGACTTAGGGATCACAGTAGCACTTCCTACAGAAAACTGGTGGGAGGTATGTACAGCTGACATTAGTATATCCTACTGTCTTGTGTATATCGATGTTTTCTTGGCTATTGGCACTAAAAGAATAGATTCACTCCACTGTCAATATTATAAAGTAATATTACCCTTTTTTGTGTGTGTGTGTTTGCAGTGCTAAGTATCAAACTCAAGGCCTCACACATGGTAGGCAAGCTCACTCTGCCACTGAGCTACACTCCCTGCCCTCTAGTTTTCTCTTCATATTATCTCTTCTCTCCAGAACTCAGCTTCACTGAAATAGTCTGTCTGAGTCTGTCTTTAGCATACTTGTAGTCATCATTAAATTATTGGTTTCATCAGAGGGCCATGTTGATAACTATAGATGGACTCTACTTTGTGAATTTATTCTGAGACTTTGGTATGACTCCTAGTGCTACTGAGAGAGAATAAGGTATCAGACTAAGAACAGTGTTAAAATTTCTTGACCTTGCTTAAGAAATAGCCGTTTTGGGCTGGGGATTTAGCTCAGTGGTTCTACCGCCTGCCTCACAACCGCAAGGTCCCGAGTTCAATCCCTGGTACGAAAAAAAAAGAAATAGCAATTTTATTTTGAAAATATAAAATATCACTTAATATTATTGAGTGACTACCCTCTGTCCAGTCTAGTTCTGGCCTCGGATCTGAGAGAGGCAGCCTGACCATTGTTCATAGCTTAAAGGCCCACCTAGGCCATCTATGGTAATAAAGGGAGGTAGCTACTGGACATGGCCAGGACTCTTCTGGGTTTCCTGGGAAGCTCACTGCCTTTGCTGAGATCTGGTGTCCACTGTATAGTGAAACCTTTAGACATTAGGACAGAAAGCAGGGGGAACAAGGCTGATGAACCTTGAAACCATTCTAGCAAGGAACATACCCTTATTACATTTTTTAAAAATATGTGTAGTCAAAAGCTACATTCAAAGTTAAAGTTTAAGCCAAATCTCTGGCCTGTTTTCATTTTGTGATAGTGGTCTATTGGAATAAATAGATTGTTATGGCCCCAGAGGACATATCAGCAATAATTCAGGAAACTCAGGCCTAAAGTCTCCATGGGGCTCAAAAAGAAAATACTTTTGACAACATGCATGGGTCAGATGCCTCTTATCCTCTCTTGGAGAGGAAGTGGGGACACTTGCCCTAAGTGAAGTAAACTGTCCTGAGTTCTTGGTTTTCTCCAGATGTACTTGAGCTGTGGGACAGGAAAGTACTCACTGATTGCACAGCCTTTGGCATTGATTATGCCCTGGGACATGCCCCATTTAGTCTCTATTTGGGGATGACTTGTGCTCTAGGGGTTGGGATCACAGTTGGTTACTGTGTCTTTCTTCCTAAAGTTCTCTGTGGATCAGGCAGGTACTGCCCTTGGTAGCTAACCATTTAAGGACGCAGTCCATGGAGCAGAGTACCATAGTTCTTCAGGTTTTCCTGGTTCCCTAGCGTGAAGTTTCCTACTTGTTTCTTCTTGATTCAGTAGCATCATCATCCTCTTTGGGAACCTTAATCTAGGTCTCTTAAACACTTCCCAGTCTTCTGTGGTCCAACCCTCATCTTAACACTTAGGTGTTTTGTAACTAGCTCACTTGCCAGTTAACTAGATATTATGGCTACAACATGTATAGTAGAAGATACTTACTAGTTGCTTCTTTAATATTAAAACGTGAACTTCTTTCTATGTCAGTAATCATTTATAACATTCTTTTCAGTAACTAGATAGTAGTCCATTGCATGAATCTGTCATATATTGTCTAGCTGATTCTGCTGGACATTTAGGTTATTTCAAATTTCTTACTATTTTAGCTACCTTTTTTTTTTTTTTGGTACTGGGAATTGAACTCTGGACCTTGCACCTTCGAGGCAGGTGGCAGAACCATTGAGCTAAATCCCCAGGCCTATTTCTTACTATTTTAAATAAGCCCATGGTACAAATAACCTTCATTTCCTCAGGGAGAATTTATAGAAGTAGAATTGCTAGTTCAAATCATTTTTTGAGCCAGGCATGTGCCAGCACACCTGGCATCCCAGTACTCAGGAGGATGAGGCAGGAAGATCCCTCCAAGTTTGAGGCCAGCCTGGGCTACATAGTGAGTTCAAGGCTAGCCTGAACTACATAGCAAGACTCTGTCTCAAAAAACAACAACAAAAATCAACTTCTGGAGTTCTTCATTATGGTATGCTTTTAAGTGGCCCCTAAGAGAATACAGGAGCCAAAGAAGCTACTCAGGTTTTTTGTGGGGGTTTTTTGGTACTGGGGATTGAACTCAGGACCTTGCACTTGTGAGACAAGCACAGCTCTACTGAGCTAAATTCCCGGCACTTCAGTTTTTTCCAATTTTAGTATATGTGCTGCGAAAGCGAGCACCTCAGTTTTTTAAACTATTTTTGCAATTAGGATTCATTCAATGCTGGGAATTCAGTGATTTTTGAACAAAGTTTGGAAGTTTGTTGTTTTCTTTGGATTTGTTTTTTTTTCTTTCTTTCTTTTTGGTGGAGTTTATACAAGGAAGTGAAGGCTTAGAGATTTTCTACAAACATATGAGGCCTAACTAGAGGTGTGCTTTGTGTGTGGGCCTCCTGTGGCACATGAGGGAACATGTATCACATATGTATTAGCTCTTTTTAAAAATTTTGTTATAGTGGAGATTGAACAGGGCTACATTCTCTAGTCCTTTTTATTTATTTACTTTTTTTTTTTGAACGTTTGAGAAAGAGTCTTGCTAAGTCACTGATTTTCTAGGTGCAGCTCAAACTTTTAATCCTCCTGCCTTAGCCTCTAGAGAAGCTGGGATTTCAGGTGTGCAGCACCATGCCCAGCCCCATATCTTTTTCAATTGTATTGGATGCCAAGTTGTTGTTTACCATAGAAGGGGTGGTTTTCCTCAAGTATCAAATGAAACATTCTTGGAAGGGTCATTAACTAAAATAAAGATAAAAAATCACAAGATCCATAAAATTAAAAGATTATAAGAGTCTGAATTTAAAAGACAAAGTAGAGAGCCAAGAGAAAGGACTTGGAAATTAAGCCTCAGTCTGACATAGACTTTATTATATGCACATCTCAAATTGTGGAGCACTCTGAAAGAAACTCCCATTGTAATTTGATTTTTTTCTTTCTTCTTTTCAGGTATCTCATTCAGTTGCCAAACTTATATTAGTTAATTTCCACTGGCAAGTCTCAGAGATATTGGACAGGTAAGGTTGTTAGAAGAGAGGAGATGGCATTGCCTATAGCTGTCTTCTCTGCCCATCCACCCACTGGTGATTATTGTTTACATTTTGGAGTATATTCTTTCAGTGTGCATATTATATTTTTTAAATACTGGGTCATAATGTACATCCTTTCCTTTCAGTTATGAACATTTCTCTATATCTTCAGCATATTCTTCCTCAGTTTTAATGCTAGCACAGTGTTTGATTATATAGTTGTTCCATACCGTTTTCCCATGATTCTGTACCACTGTTGATTTTTCTTTTTTCTTTCTTTCTTTTTTTTTTTTTTGCCATTCTTGATTTTTAATTAGTGCCCTTCTAGATAACGCTTCCAGTTACTACACCCCCATTACCACCCCAGTGTTACGGATTGAATCCAGGGCTTTCACACTGAGCTACATCTCCAGCTCTTTTTTTTTTTTTTTTGGTACCAGGGATTGAACTCTGGTCCTTGTGCAGGAGTCGGAACCACTGAGCTAAATTCCCAGCCCCACCAGCTCCTTTTTTTGAGACAGAGTCTTGATAAATTGCCCACACTGGGCTTATACTCTTGATCCTCCTGCCTCAACCTTCCAGAATGCTGGGTTTACAAGTGTTCATCACCACTCCTGGCTGCTGTTACTTTTTTTTGGATACATCAAGTGCGGAGTTCAATGTTAATAGATGGCATTAATGCCTTTTGAAAATGTCAGCCACTTTACCATTCATTACTCTGCCAGCAGGGTATTAGGATGTTCTTGACACTTCTCCAGAGCCAGAACTCTCAAGCCACAGGTCCTAGAGTCTCAGATGTCTTGGGGATTGTCAGGAAAAAGTATTCGTTCTCCTCACACATCTCCTGGAAAGATCTCCTGTGCCCCACCCTCAGTGGCAGGTACCTCCGTCTAGCTCAGTGTTTCTCATTCTCAGCACTGTTGACATATGGGGGTGTTTACTCTGGGGAACTGTTCTTTGAACTGTAGGATGTTTGGCAGCACCCCTGGTCTCTATGGACTAGAAGTCATTGGCAGTGGTATCTCCCAAGTCCTTGACAATCAAAATTGTCTAAAATATGTATCAGCCCCTGGGGAACAAAATAATAATAATAAGTTACAATGATTAATAATTATATTAACAACATTAATGATACAGAATAATAATAATTATTGTTTTGGTTTCTTGAGACAGGGCCTCACTGTGTAGCTCAGGCTGGCCTAGAACTCATAGCGATCCTGCTGCCTTAGGCTCCTGAGTGCTGGGATTCCAGGTGTGTGCTACCACATCTGATGCCTAGGGAACAAAACTGCCCTATGTGAAAAGCACTAGTTATTACCACTGCTCGTTAACACTACAGTGGATCTCTCTCTCCCTCTCTTTCTCTCTCTCCCTACCTCCCTCTTTCCCTCATTCCCTCCCAGCACTCATAGGACTATCGCTGTGAATTTGAGGCCAGCCTGAACTACACAGTGAAACCCTGCCTCAAAAAATGAAACAAAACAAGAATAGACATGATGTTAGAACAGTCATTTTGGTGTCTGCACAAACAAGAAACGTCTGAGGGTGGTAGTATAGCTGGTTGTAATCCCAGCTGCTTAGAAGGCTAATGGAGGGGAATCATAAGGTCAAAGCCAGCTGGGGCAACTCAGTGAGACCCTGTCTTAATAATCTGGGGGTGGTAGTGCCCACCTGTAATCTCAGCACTTGGAAGGCTGAGACAGGAGAATTGCCACAAGTTTGATCCTGGGCTACATAGTTTAAGGCCAGCCTGCACTCTGCACTGCATAGCGAGACCCTGTCTCAAAGGACAGCCCTGTGAATATAGTACTTGCCTATCCACATCCCCTTCCTTCCTCTTCAAAGCAGCTAGTAGCCTTGAACTGAGTTTCTGACTTTCCCAATCATTCTTAAATTATATACATTTTGCTATATGCATTCTTCACTTTGTAAATTAGCATGGCTACTTTTTATGTTATCCTGTTAAAGAATGTGTATCCGTTCTCATAAAAAAAAAATCTTTGTGAGGTTTTTAGTCTTTTTTTTGCTGTTAAAAAAAATACAACTCTGAAAACTGTTGTAGATGACTTCCAGAGTCACATAATTTTTCTGAGGCATAAAAGTTGAATTTCTGGGAGGGAAAGGGAATGAAAAAAGAATTGAGATTTGTTCCGTGCATGTATCAACTCCCCATAAGAAATGTAATCATTATGTACTGCAAATGTGTACTAATAAAAATAAAAATTTTTTAAAGTGAATTTCTGAGTTGTAGTGTGTGTGTGTTTTCAGCTTTACTAGAAATGGCAGGTTTTCTGAATTAATCATACTACTTTACGCTCCTGCCAGTGGTTATATAAAGGTTTGTGCTCATATCAAACTTAATTTTGCAATCTGGTGTGTGTAAATGGGATCTAATTTTTTAATTTCAGTGTCTTGGATTATTAAGGAAGCTAAGCATCTTTTCATATGATTAGTAGCTTTCTATGAAATGCTTGGGATTTTTTTGCCCTCTCTTTTTAAGACAGGGTCTTGCTTTCTCTCTCTCTCTCTCTCTCTCTCTCTCTCTCTCTCTCTCTCTATATATATATATA